GGGATGGATCTGGGCTCCTCTGGAGTCTGTGCCAGCTGGGACAAGGCCTTTGCCCCTCTCTGTGTCCGGGTGCAGGGGAGGTCCTGGCACAGCGTGCTTCTGGGCTGGGTCATCCCCGCACAGCGGAGCAGTGGCTGTGCTGTGGTAGAAGCCCCAACCAGCATGGTCCTGCCTGGCACAGAGCCCCGATTCCCAGAGAGAGGGGTGTGAGCAATGCTGCCCTCCTCCTCCTCCGGTGGCTGCACAGGGTGGGCAGGTGCTCTGCCCAGCACCCCGGCAGCAGTGTTGGGTGCAAGCACCCTTCCTCTGCTGTCTGCAGCCCCGTCATTGTGGAGATCCCACACTTCGCCTCGTATGGGCGCGGAGACCGCGAGCTGGTGGTGTTGCGCAGCGAGAACGGCTCTGTCTGGAAGGAGCACCGCAACCGCTACGAGGAGAGCTACATGGACCAGCTGCTCAACGGCATGGATGAGGGTGAGCATGCCAGGCGGGGTGGGCTCGGTGTGGCGCAGTGGTGCAGCTCGGAGGGGCGGTGGGGGACAGCTGTGGGCTATGTGTGTGCACACTAATGGCTGTGCCGCCCTCGCAGAGCTGGAGAGCCAGGAGGAGCTGGAGAAGAAGAGGGTCTGCCGCATCATCACCACCGACTTCCCTCTCTACTTCGTCGTCATGTCTCGGGTTTGCCAGGACTGCGACCAGATCGGCCCCGAAGGAGGGTGTTTGAAAAGCACACTGGTGCCCATGGTTCAAGCTACTTTCCCAGACACCGCTGTCACCAAGAAAGTGCGACTGGCCCTGCAGGTGAGCCCCAAGAGCCTGGCCCGGGGCCCAGCTGTGCCCCAGCATGGGGGAAGCTGTCCCTGATGCCCGTGCTCATGCTGCCCACAGGCGCAGCCCGTGCCTGACGAGCTGGTGACCAAGCTGCTGGGGAACCAGGCCACCTTCAGCCCCATCGTCACTGTGGAGCCGCGCCGGAGGAAGTTCCACCGCCCCATCGGGCTCCGCATCCCACTGCCGCCGTCCTGGAAGGACAATCCCCGAGACAGTGGCGAGGGTGACACCACCAGCCTGCGCCTGCTCTGCAGTGTGATCGTCTGCCGCAGGCGAGCGTGCTCGCTGGTGGGGATGGGCTGGGCCGCCACGGTGGGATGCAGCTCCTGGGAGGGAGGAGGACAGGTCATGGCAGTAAAGAGAGCAGATGCCTGGGGGATGCAGACCCCAGGCTTATGGAAGGGCAGTGTGCTCACCATCACTTTCTGCTGCAGGAGGGACAGCCCAAGCCCAGTGGGAAGATATTACAGGCACCACGAAGCTGATCTATGAAAATGAGTGTGCTAACTTTACCACCAATGTTTCTGCCAGGTGAGTCCTGGGTGAGCATATGCTCCGTGGGGATGTCTGCTGCTGCTTGGGCAGGGCAGGTGCCTCCAGCCTTGAGACCCCCGCGCTGCCTCAGTGCAGTCAGGAAACAACGACAACTGGGAGTGCAGAGGGAAGGGTCCACTTGGGTGGGTCCTCATCATGGATGGGGCCACTCCTGTGCCCAGAGCTCTTGGGGCAGCCTCTGCGACGCAGTTTGCTGTGGGGGGCAGCTCTCCTGGTGCCACCAGGCAACTGCCCAGCAGCGCCCCGACCCAGCCCTCCCGCAGGTTCTGGCTGGCCGACTGCCCGCGCACAGCCGAGGCCGTGCACTTTGCCACAATGCTGTACAAGGAGCTGACAGCCGTGCCCTACATGGCCAAATTTGTGGTGTTTGCCAAGATGAATGATGCACGGGAAGGCCGGCTGCGCTGCTACTGCATGACTGACGACAAGGTTGACAAGACTTTAGAGCAGCACGAAAACTTCACAGAGGTGGCCCGCAGCAGGGACATCGAGGTTTGTCCCCAGCAGCATCTGTGGGGGGCAGCAGGGAGAGGGCTGCCCAAGCCAGGGGGAACTGATGCCAGGGGAGGGGCCTGCCCTGGCCCTGGGAGGAGAGTTGGGGTTACCTGCCCTGGCCAGGGCAGGGGAAGCGACTCTGCACAGGGCTGAGCCAGTTTTCTGCTCCCTGCCAGGTGGTGGAGGGGATGCCATTGCACGTCGAGCTCTCGGGGAACCTGGTGCCTGTCAAGAAGGCCACTCATCCCCGCACCTTCCTCTTCCAGTCCTTTCGGGAGAACCGTCTCGCCATCCCCATCAAGGTAGTGGCAGGGTGCCGGGCTGGGCTGCAGCCGGGGCCCCCGCGCCTGCCCCGTACCAGGCCACCTCACCGGGCTCTCGTGCTCAGGTTCGGGACAGCAGCCGGGAAGCCAGCGGCTCCCTGTCCTTCTTGCGCAAGGCCATGAAGTACGAGGACCTCCAGCACGTGCTCTGCCACCTGAACATCAGCATCCCGCCCTGCACCAAGGTCAGTGCTGGGCCTCCAGCACCTCCGGATGATGGCGCAGTGGGGTGCAGGAGGCAGTCCTCGCCATCAGCTGCTCTTTCTCAGCCCCTCTGAGTGGCCACACCATGCGGCTCTGTGGCTGTGGGCGAAGCCGGGGGGCCAGGGCAGAGCCGCTGCCCACTTTTCAAGCTGGTGACCCCATGGTTTGTCCGCACTCTCACAGGGAAGCGGGAGTGAGGAGCGGAGGAGGACACTGACGCCGTTGTCTCTGCGGGAGCGATACAGCATCCTAAGTGAGACCAGTTTCGGTAGGCAGCCTGTTTGACTGCTTGAGCCCTCGCCACCCGCGCACAGGGTGCCAAAGCCAGAGGAAAGGCTGGGCTGGCCCTGCTGTAGCCGCACTTGTGGCAGCTTCCCTTTCCCTGAGGATTTCCTTGGTCCTGCAGGGCAGTGCCGTGCCTATGGGGCTGTGAGACCCTTGCAGCCAGCCCCTCTTTCCCCACCACACTGCAGGGCCCTGCTGAAGCAGTGACTCTGTTCTCCCCTAGGGTCTCTGAGCAGCACAGACAAGGCAGACCAGAAGATGGTGGACATAGCAGAGCAGCTGGGCCTCAGCTGGGCCGGTGAGTCCGTACTCGATGGCTCTGGGGGTGCACAGAGAAGAAGGCTGGAAATGTGCTGTGGGGTGGCATGGATTTGCATTTGGGGTGCATGCAGTCTCCTCTGGCACGGTGGCCTTGCCTCCCAGCATTTCTGCTAAACTGGCACGGAAATTGAGTTTTTTGCAGCCGCGCGTGCGTTCACACGCACACCCCGATGCCAGGCTGAGGTTTTGCTCTGAGCTGTGCGCGTTGCTGCTGGAGGCCCAGCGCTGTCACAGCCACACACCCCCCTACCCACACTTCTCCTTAGCGTGGGACACTGCTGCGCTGGTCACACGTGGGCTTCAACCCCTGCCCTGTCCCAGCGCCTGCGTGCTCTGCCGTGCTCAGTTGTCTGTGATCTGGGAGCCCCTTGCAACATTCCCAGCCTTTTTGGCTGTGGGGAGCTGGCGGTGGTGCTGAGGGGTGCGAGGCTGAGGTGCGGTGTCTCCCCAGAGCTGGCGCGTGAGCTGCAGTTTGGGGTGGACGACATCAACAGGATACGTGTGGAGAACCCCAACTCCCTGCTGGAGCAGAGCATGGCTTTGCTTAACCTCTGGGTCAGCCGTGAGGGCAAGAGCGTCAAGAGTGAGTATCTGCGGTGCTGTGTCTGGGCACGGCTGTGTTCTCCAAGCCACTGTTTCACTGACAATTGCTTCCCCCTGCAGTGGAGAGCCTGTACACAGCACTGAGGAACATCGACCGCAGCGAGATTGTCAGCACGCTGGAGGGCTCCGGCCGGCAGAGCCGCAGCCTGAAGGGCAGAGACTACTCACTCTCGCCGTCCCAGATGAATGGTGAGTCCTGGCTTCTGGCAGGGGCTGCAGGAGGGCCCTGGTCTGTGCTGATAGACCAAGGCTGATGCCTTGCCTGACCAGTGCTGGGGGGCACGAGGCGTTGCCGACAGACACAGCCGCCTCCCTGGGGCTGCTGCAGGAAGCTTGGCCCTGCCATGCTGCCTTCTCAGAAGCTCTCTGGTGAGGCGAACACTCGTTGCTTATCCTAGGGTGCCAGGGAGAGCTGCCTCTGGCTGTGTGAGCTGAGCAGGGCTGGGGAGCTCCCAGCGCCCTGGTGCCCAGGCTGGGTCCCAGGCAGAGCGTGCCTGGGAGGGGGACGCAGCCAGGGCCAGCTGCAGCCCATGCCATCGGGGAGCTGGTGTGGGACAGGGCTTTGTGTGCTGCAGCCCTGCGCTGTGGCACTGCTCCTGCAGCACCGGCTCATTGCTCTCTCCCTCTCTGTCTCTCCCCTTGTTCTGCTCTCTCAAACATGCCACCCAGCGCCATCAGGTGCGGGCACTCCTGTGGGTCACCTCTTGTCACCTCTCTCTGAGCTCATCCTGGCCTCTCCTTCTCTCATCTTCCTCCACTGCCTGTCTCCACTGTCTCTACCTCAGCTGAACCCTCCAGGAGCTGCGTCCTGCTCCAGCGATGCATGTCACCAGGGTCTGCCCCTCTTGTGGCTGCCATGCTTGCAGCGGCCACCCCAGCCCTTCTCCTGTGCTGCCCTGCGCTCCTGCCCTCGCTGGCCCTGCACTGCTTGCCCCCTGCCAGGCACCCGCAGAGGGGAGACGTGCCTGCTCTGTGCTGGGTGTCCCGGCTGTCCCTGTGCCTTGGCTGTGGCTTGCAACTCCCGACTGCCTGGGGAGCAGAGCAGGTTCTCTGCTGATCTCTGGGTGTGGAGAAGGGGTCTAATGGCTCCGAGTTGAAAAAGGCTGAGCAAAGCCACCTGCATGAGTAGGAGTGCCCAGCTTGGCTGAGTCCATATTGGTGTGCCTGGGCTGTGCAGGGGGCCCTGGGTGGTGAGGACCTGACAACTGCTTGTAGCCCTAGAGACACCGCAGGCCCTCGGGGTTGCATGGCATGTACCAGGGCCATCCTTCCCTGCTCACGGTGCCACGTCCAGCCTGCTCCTCTGTGCTGCAGAGAGGGGCCGGCTTTGGAAACCAGTGCCTGCCAGACTCGGCCACCTGAACTGCAGGCTGTCAGCCATCTGGAGCTGGATGGGGGCTGTGGGCAGGGACCTGGGACTGGTGGAGCAGGGCAGCACAGAGGGCACTGTGTCCTGCAGAGTAGATGGGGCATGGTGTGGACCCCAGGCCAGGCTTCCCTGCAGGGAGCGGGCAACCCTCGGGCCTGCGCCAGGCCTGGCAGGGGCGCATAGCAGCACCTGCAGGGACCAGGCCAAGGCAGCAGCTGCCGTGGGCACAGCCCAGCCCCTGGGGTCTGTGGCATGGCCTGTGCCTGGGGCAGGCACCCTCCTGGAGGCTGTTTCCCTTCTTGCCCCACTGTGCTTGTGCGTGCGTGAGATGGCTGCTGGAGATGTCGCCTCTGTCTGCCCATATAGGTTACGCTTCGCTGCAGGACGAGCTGCTGTCCCCCGCCTCCCTGCATTACACGCTGCCATCCCCGCTGCGTGCCGACCAGTACTGGAATGAGGTGGCCATCATGGATGCTATCCCCATGGCTGCCACCGAGCAGGATGCCCTGATGGAGATGTCCGACATGCAGGTGTGGTCCTCGGGGCTCACTCCCTCGCTGGTGACTGCTGAGGACTCCTCTCTGGAGTGCAGCAAGGCCGAGGACTCAGACGCCACAAGCGAAGGCCGGTTCCCAGGGCAGCTTCTAGCAGACACGCATGGCCCAGACCACATGGGCTCTATGGACCTGGTTGAGGATGACACAGTGGACTCAGATGCCATGAATGGCCTGATTGACCTTCTAGAGCAGGAGGAGGGGCAGAGGCCGGAGGGGAAGATGCCAGCCGGTGATCGCCAGCCTGGGACCGGGGAGCAGGACCCGGAGAGTGAAGTCTCTTTTGTTTCAGTTCAGCAGAAGGTGCAAGCCAGGATCACGGCATCACCTACCGTTAGCCATGTCATGGAGAAGAGCACAGACAGGTACCGTGGCCTGGGGCACCGGGGTGGCCGTGGGAGGGGGGCAAAACTGCTTCACCAGCTATCGCCCTGGGCTGGGGCAGCTGCAGCAATCCCCCAGCTTTGCTTGCTTCTCTGCTCATCTCCAGCTCTGGAGCTCGGGCATCCCGGGCAGGCAGAGCAGCGGCTTGGGCCAGGTGCCTTGCACCTTTCTGGAGATGCTCTGGGGGCTCCTTGCAGAGCACTGGGGGCTGCCCCAGGCAGACAGCCATGCCCTGCATGTGGGTTGTGCTTCCTAGTGCCACTTCAGCCTGGGCTGCATCCCCTGCATTCCCAGTGGCACCAGTCCCGTGGGGTCCCTGGCAGAGCCCAGTGCTGCTCCACAGCATTGCCTTGGCCCCTTGAGGCCGTGGGGTGGGCAGGGAGGGGACCTGTGCTGTTGCGCATCTGCATTTTGTGCTGCTTGTGCCGGGCGCCTGGCAGCACCGTGAGTGGGGAGCCCAGCGCCTGGCGGGGTGCAGGCTGCGCCGCC